ACTGGCAAACAGGGCGCACTATCTCACTGAGGTGGGAAGCTCTACACACAGTTCAGGAGTATTACAGAGAGTGAATGAACCTGCTTTAACGTCATCTGTATGGCTTTGTAATGAATCCTAGTAGCCACTAGAGGGAGAAAGGCTAACACAACACAGGTTATTTCATAACATATAAAACAACAGTGCTTTACCACAGAAGATATTCACTAGTCATAGTACAAAAACACACAGATTCAACACTACTGGTGACTCTTGTCCCAGTAAATGTGCCAGACTGCACAATTCCAGGGCTGTGGAATAGCATTATGTTACTTATTACACCTGTGCCTTTATAACTATCATATAAATGTCTGCAGTGAAACATGTATCTAACCATCACCCTACCAGAGTGTCTCTTACCAGGAAGCAGCTGCTGAATTGGGTCACTGACTGCATTCACACTACAAAACACACCTACTCACGGTCAGTATGTTTTTCCGATAGCTGTCTTCTACAGGAGCTGGGGGCTTGGGGCCACCTTGAAGATCTGTCACTACATAGTTGATGTGCGTGTGTGCAGGAGGCTCCAAGAGCGTTGGCACCCATTGGGCCTTTAACGAGACATTAAAGAATGACGCTGTTATATACCGATATTACATGAGATTACATCTTTTAGAGAGAGAAAGGTTTACCTCCATCACATCGGGTATTGACTTCAGCGGGGTTCGAGCACCGTGCCGGAACAGGACTTGGACCAATTTTAGTTCGTAGGGGGAACTGGGATTTGTGTCCGTAGAGGTGCAATGGGAAGCAGTCTGGTCCGGTTCTGTCTTCTTCTGTGACCACAGCATGGAACCAAAAGCCATGGACACCGAACCTAAAACACCGGCTTTGGTCCACAAAGTCCTCATGGCTGTGCTGTGAACGAAACAGACCATTTGGTTTAGTGTATGCGAACTATACACACTTAAAGGTTTAAGGTTCAAAGTAAGAGGAAGAACGAAAAGACCTTTAGTCAACGTGAAAGTAATGTTAACAGAGATGCTGCTGGCATTAAGGAAGAACCTCACTGCCTCATGTAACAGCAGTCTTGCAACACACAGCAGCTCGAGCTTCCTCTGTAAGACAGCAGCTAATGATTACTATTCACTATTTCACTATCAAATAATCTGAAATGAAATGATTCACTGTTTGACATATTCATGCTGCTTATTTGACCGTACCAGCAGTGCAGAACTCAAAGACATGAGACCAGAACCAGAACCAGAACCAGTGACATCTTCACACTGGAGAAGGATTTTAATCATTTCTGCTTAACAAAATGACACACACGGTACATGTATTGATTGATCTGTAAAATAGCTGACTTTCTCAACTAGTTGCTTAATTTATTACTTTCTATGAATGGGAGAAAATGCTCTTCAATTTCTACCCAAGGGGGCGTCTTCACATTTCCTGTTGTGTCCACGAACAGTCCAAAAGATGAAGAACAATCATCTTTCATTTATTCTGGCATTTTGACTGAAACGATAACGTCTGACAATTATTATATCTACTGTTGTGTTGATCGACTACCGTGTTGTTTTAGCTCTACTTTACCATATATTGTGTACTAACCTGCGTTAAGTGATAAACCTCCTGCTAAGTCCAAGATGATGATGATGATGATGATGATGATGCAGTAGCAGCAGCAACTTGACGTTAGTTAATTAACTCTACTAGCTGACAGGCAGAGTTAAGGTCGATCAACAAATGAATATTTTAACACATTGACGTTAGACATCCAGCTGTAGCACTGGCTGGCGTTTCCACTCATATCTTTCCTCATCTATTAAATATTTAAGGTTCATGTAACGCTAACATAACAGTTGTGCAATAAAACCCCAAATACTGTGAGATTAGGACTGTTCACAGAGTTAGCTAACAGACATTGCTTAACTCGTTTCAACACTCGTCGAAGAAGCACGTTAGGAAAACATCACTTGGCACAATGCTAACGTCAACTCTGTCTAAACTAGCTCGTTGCCACACAACACGATAGCATGGAGTTTAACCGCCGTCCCAACGGTCGACCTGGCTAACTGTGCCATGGCAACGAAGCTCGACTAACGTTAACGTTACTTACTTACTGAAATGTAGTTCTTGTGCTGCCCTGGGTACAAAACACAGCCTTCAGTGAATGATAAATTCACTTGTCATTCGGCGACTGTAGCCACCGGTTGAAGCCAAATGAGATGTCGGGAACTGTAGGGTAGCAGACGCCACTCTACAATAAAAGTAAAGGTGATCGTTAGGAGGATAAAACTACATTTCCCAACATTCAGTCTAGAGTGACGTTTATTCTTCTTCCTCTCTTAAAAGATGGTGGAGGAGATGCGTCAGAATGTGCTGCTGCCCTCTGCAGGCCGTAAAGTGTATCTGCACATCACAGTGCTCTAGTGTTTAAAGTTTGTTATCCCAAACAGGACCAAGCGCAAAGCTCCAGACCCAAATGTTTTCTCAGACGAGTCTTTTAGGGTCTGAGGAGTGAGAAAGAGAGGAGAAAGGGAGGAGGGATAGAGAAGGTGAGGAAAAGAATGAAGGAAAGAATAAAAAGTGAAAACTTAATGAAAACAGGTGAGGGGGAAGAGGGACAAGAGATGAGTACAGAACAGAGGTATAAAGGAGGTTAACAGGGATAACGTTTAATATATTTGAATATTTTTTACTTTATGATCAGAAATCTTCATACTTTGTTTGTTTTATATTTTGTTCACTCAGTGGAAACTTCCAGGGTTAAATGAGTGGAGCTGAGAGAATGAGAGAAGTTCAGAAGAAAAGAGGAGGAAAATCCTATCCTATAAAGTAATGTTAGATAATAATATGTTTATCCTACTATGCTCTAAAGAAATTAATTATAAAATAAAGTAATATAATCTGAGTAAATGTTCTTCTGTTGGCCTGATATTGAATTCACATGTTGACTTTGCCATGTTGGGGATCCTTAATTTGCAGGTTATATATAGGTTTCATGATTAGTAATACTATTTACACTAAATTCCTACACCCATGTTATGTGACTTAAAAATAATAAAATGAAATTTTTTGCCTATTTAGGTAGCAGGACTGACTATCAGTCACCCTCAACATTTGTTAAGAATTTTGTACAAAAATCCCAGCTTCAATGGTTATGTCTTTCATACTTTGTCATTTTGAATTTAATCCTACATTTATTTATATATTTTTTAATTTCCTCACAGTGGTCTTTATCATCACTATCACTGTTTACATTTATGATGTCTTNNCTTTGGTCAACTTTGGTTGTTTTTAAAGTGCTTAACAAATAAAGTTGGATTGGATTGGATATTATTTATTAATATATATTATATTTTTTATTCATACTCATTTTACTCGAACAGGAATGACATTCAAATAATATACAGTAACAGTGAAAGTACTTTTTATTATACTTAAGTTAAATGTTGAATACCTTTTCAATTCAGTTCCCTTTAAATTGACTGTCATTATACCAGTTCAGTATTGACAAAGTAAAGTATCTGAATAATACTCACCTTGTATCCTGAAAATAAATCTCATACAGTTTTAAACCATACTGTTCAAAAAAGAAAAAGCCTGACGACTGAAATCTGAGAAGCATATATGAACGTCTTGAATGTTACGTTTT